AGCTATGGGTCAGTTCCAACTATTCAGTACACAGTAAGAAGGAATTAGTTTTTAAAAATTATTACACCTTGAGAAAAGATATCCATTGAATTGCTAAAATTTCACATTGAAGATTACAAAGAGTAATCAGCCTTTATAAGGCAAGATTAATTTTAGGAACCTTGAGTAAAAAAAGGTAAATACACAGGAATTTGTCCATGATTTCTGTCAATTATGTATACAGAGAAAGGCATCTGACATGAAACAAGTAAGGAAAGAATTAGGCTAGGAATTCAAAATTACATGTCAGGGGGAAAATTACTGTGCATTAGCAATCAGTTTTCCTGTTCGTGCAATGTGCATCATCTTCTCCTAATATCAAAGCCATGTGTACAAATGAGTATATGGTAAGTGCAGGGTGGGGCAGGGCTCTTTAGGTCTGTTTACACTTAGGTCAGTAATATATGCAACGTGTATGATGAAATGGAATTCCTTTCATGTCAACCCTGTGATCACGTGCATAGTCCCATAAATAATAATCCAGAAGAACAGAATTGATTTCTCCATTAGTTTTTTCATCCTTTTTTTCAATGAGGTCCAGAAGACAATCCCGAATCAGCTCAACACACCAAACTGAGCACCCTCTGATTTCTACTTCCTGTTTATCCCCATATGAGAGCATTTCTCCTGCAAGGGGGAAAAAATGAGATCAAGGAATATTAACATTCAATGGGATCAACTATAGTCAAAATTTTAGTGCAGAACAAAACACAGTATTTAAACAATACCAATTTTAAAACTATAATCCTCAGACTATTTTATTTCATAGTTTGGCAATTTAAACTATTTCATTTCCTTTTTTTTCTTCTTCTTTATTTGGTGATTTGAGTGAAGGTTTATAATCCATTACTTTCTATTTGATCATTAATATAACATTTTCTACATTAATCATATGCAATGTAACAACACTCTCCCTACTTCTTCCCTGTGATTCTTGTTTAATCTATCATAACCCATTCCTGCCATTTGAGCTTATCACTGGACAAATGGTACTCTCTTCATCCTGTGTGGCTGATTTTTCAAAGAAGTACGTACCCCAATACATCTGTTCACCATTCAGACCTGTCTATTTAGCCTGGCTAAAGCTTGAGCCACAGTAGTCTTCCTCTATCTAGTAAGTGCTACAGCCTTGGAGGTTCCACTAGTTTCTGTAAGACTATAAAAAACTATCCATTTTTATCGTTTTCCTTGCATTTCATTCCACATGTTTCATCCACAGTATCTGGGATCTTTGAGTAGTCAGCCGTGGTAGCCAGGCACCATCAGGTTCTTGTACACTCACAAGCAGCTGTGAGGTTAAGTTCTCATGGCCCTGAGCTCTCTGGACAAATTGTTTCTATGCGTCTTGGCTCTTTCTTCTTCTCTCTTCTTTGCTCCATACAAGAGAGGCCAACAGTTGTATTTTAGATGACTATTCACAAGCTTTTAGAAATGGTCACTACTCAAAAAAGTAGGATGTATAACATTATCTTTGTGGACTATGTTATGTCAAATGATCTTGAGATGGTCCAAGACTATGGTCCTGAAGCCCTAAAACCAGCAAATTCAAACATGTCTAAACTCAGGGACTAATACAATGAATAAATAATAAATGCAAACTGTGGTGAGCTATAGTGTGTACTGCCTATCTATAGCTAAACAGTGTTTTCATTTCTGTTTTTACAAAGTGAAGTCAGAAAGTTTCATTTTTATGTGAGATATAATTTTCACCCAACTAAATATAATCTGTAATTAATTAGTGTTGGCAACTAATTTAAAAATTGCTAAAGCACTGTCAGACCAAAAGAAATGTATCAACAAGGTATATCTGACCACTGGCTAGCTACCCATGTTCTCTACTCTTCTCTTTACTTAGCTGCCTGTCACCTGGGATCTTAAGTACTGTTACTTATGCTGTCTTCACCTACATCTCTTAGGCTCAGTGGGGCAGATGGAAAAACAGACATCAACTGGCTCCTTCTATTTCCTTACTTTGCCCAATGCTAGCATACAGACCCATGCTCCTTCTTTAATTCTCCTGTAAACTAAGTCTTTCAAACTTGACTATCAACAATCTGATCTGAAAAACAATGTATTTGAATTTTGTAAGTAAACTAGTATAAATTTAAAAAAAGAAAGAAAAAAAAACAACCAAAAAAAAACACATGCAGAACTGCCAAATGATATATGAATCCAAGAGCTCAAAGCTAGATAACAGCCAACCTCTAAGGTGGTCCCTAAAGGCCTGGTCTTCATCACTTTGCATAGCTCTTTGCCTTTGAATATGAATGGGCTGAATTTAGCAGAGGTGATAAGACTGTCACTTCCAAGTTAAGATACAAAAAGCTTGTTTGGATTGCTCTCATTCTCCTCTGTCCTGGTTCTCTTACCCTAGTCCTGTGGAGATGCAAACCAATGGAGAGTGAGCTTGGAGGCAGATTACCCTGAAGACAAGCTATTACAAGAAACTGCCCAGGTGAAAACAGAACCCAGATTCCTGATCCATAGAAACTAATGCTTGCTTTACCTATGGTACCTCTAGATATGATCTTACTTGGAAAAATAATCACTGCAAATGGATGATCCCTAAATCTAAGGACTGGTTTCCTTGTATATGGAGAGGACACAAAGAAACTTGTGAAATACACAAGAAAATGGAGGTAAAGACTGGAGAGATGCAGCTACAAGTTAAGGAATGCCAAAAATAGCTAGGAGCCTCCAAAAGTTCAGAAAAATCATGAAAGAATCTTCCCCTGCAGCATTCAGAAGGAGCATCTCTCTGCTAGCACCTTGATTTTGATTTCTAGCCTCCTATGAGAAAAGAAATTTTGATTATTTAAAGGCATTCATTTTGTGGTAATTTCTTAAGGCAGCCCTAAGAAACTGGGTAACACAGTAACTAATAAACTCAGTTTGAAAAGGGGAATGAACTTTGAAAGAAAAAAAAACACTTGAAATGACTGAAAGAGTTTCAGATGACTGATAAATGAAGATTAAGAATGAAGAGTATATATGTGGACCAGAAAAAAAACAAAGAAGCTATGACAGTTACATGTTGTCTCTCTGAAAGGTATCTAATCGTTAATGAACCAGTATGTTCTATTCCAAATGAAGAAATGTAGGGACAAATGGATTGCCCGAGGTAGCATAAAAACCTGATAGAACCAGCCTTAGGAATAACGTCACCTCTATATTCTGTGTTTTATTTCTCAGTTCCTCAAGAAAAAATAATTCAAACATAAAATTACTTTTCAGAAATGTAAAAAAAAAAAAAAAAGAAAAAAACTCAGAAAAAATTATGTCCAATTAAAAAGATATTAACATGTTATATTAATAAGAAAACTGTTGTTGATTGCCTATGAGATGAGCACGACTCATAGCGACCCTATAAATAAAAGGCCTGAAGTCCCTATACAACTATCAACATTTGTAACATAATTTTCTTACCAAAGGAAAAACAAAAATCTATCTTAAAAACCAAAAGTTAATTTTTACAAACTCCTCTCAACTCTCAATGTGCCTATATTCACATATTATAGGTTTCAAGGTTTCACGTATCAGGGTTTCTAATTTTAAGAATTGGTAATCTCATCTAAAACGATGAGTAAAAAAGAGTAAAGGAAGTGACGGATTAGATCAGGTAATCCAGTGGCAGATGTCAGAGCTTATCACTCTAAATAAAATAACATGACCACTCTTCTATCAGTCCACCTTTTACTTTTGCTCCTGATCTTAATATTCTTAAAATACTAACTTTGATGAACTGTCCGTGCTACAAACTTTCATGTAACATAAATTCAGGATCCATTTTATTATTATTATGTTGTGTGCTATCAAGATAGAAATGACACAGCTCAACCTCCAGCAGGTTTTCAGAGGCAGTAAATCACACAGGAGGAGACTGCCCATCTTTCTCCCTTGGAGCAGCTGGTGCATTTGAACCACATGCTTTTGGAATTGCAGTGCAGTGTAGCTTATTATGACTAGGCCACCAGAGCTCCCTATTTTATTACTAGGTTCTCAAATTACAACCATGAATTAGTGTGATTTTACACAATACTGGTAATCCACAGGAAAACAAAAAAAAAATTCAACTTTTCTTATGTTTTAATTCCTCTTTCATTTTCAAACATATTTTTATCAATAAACAGTGCTTTAGAAAAAGAAAATAATTTGTGGTAATTAAACTAAATTCAATTATTTACAGTATAGCAATTAACTATAATTAAGATTACCAACCTTTAAGAAGCTTCTTCAATAGTTTATCAGAGTATTTCAGGGCCCCGAGATGAAGGAGAACCTGAGGTAATCTATAGTCAGCAAACATGGTGATGCTCGAGATGTCCTTAAAGCAGCCATCCCCTTTTCCTTCTAGCACACTCCACGTATCTGCCACAAGGATTTGAGCTCGTTTATAAAAAGAAATTCTTTTCCCCTGAAAAATGAAAAGAACATAAATGTGACCCAAATATCTGAAAGATTATATACATTATTTTAAAAAGCACATTTTTACAAATTTTTCAAGGGCAGAATAACATTACGAAGCTGATAAGAAAAGATCTAACAAATATTAAATTTCCTCTACAATCACAAATTTCCTATTTTTTTCCTAGCACAAGAATATAAAACATAAAATTTATGTAATCACAGCACCATTTAGTGTTTTTTTCAATGGTAGTACTTCATACTTATATTTCTGTAAGTAACTATTAACCAGCAGCTTATTTCTATGGGTAGTCCTTAGGAAGGGAGCACTGGTGGTTCAGTGAAAAGAAGCTGTTGCTCTGCCATCTCAAAAAAACACAGTTCAAACTCACCAGTTGATTTACTGGAGAAAGATGAACTATCTCTTCCCATGCAATTTATAGCCTCTTAAAACCTACTGTAGGGTCAACTATGAGTCAATTTCAACTCAAAAGCACACAACCACCACAACCCCCTATTTGAAAATTTTTTAAATTACACACACACACACACACAC